TATATATATATATATATATATATATATATATAGATTATGCTTGTTGTTACTCATGGGTTCTTAGAATTCGTTATACACTGTTTTTCATGGCCCGACATGGCCAGGTGGTTAGGTCGCTCGACTCGCAATCTGAGAGTCGCGGGTTCGAATCCCCGTCCCACCAAACATATTCGCCCTTTCAGGCGCGGGGTGTTATAATGTGACGATCAATCCCACTATTTGTTGGTAAAAGAATAACCCAGGAGTTGGGGGTGGGTGATGATGACTAGCTGCCTTCCCTCTAGTCTTACCCTGGTAAATTAGGGACGGCTAGCGCAGATAGCTCTCGTGTAGCTTTGCTTTTGAAATTCAAAACCAAACCTGTGTTCCATTATTATCACCCTCGATGTGTCTTAGTTCGATTTTACAATATTTTCTCTTTCGCCCGTTACTTATTTGACAGAAAGTTTCAATCTGCTCTTGAATTAATAGAAACCCTTGGGGAAGTTTAATTATTAAATATGAATAATATTTACACGATAATTGCAAAGTGACTTGACAATTGTATATAATTATAAAAGTTCATTATTTTCCGTCTACTCATTCTCAGCATCCAAGAAAGTGTATCTTGATTCTCTGTTTATGTTACAAAAGAGGGCGTTATTGATTCTCCAACTACTGTCAACCAATCAGCTGTTTGATATAACCGATAAACATTTCAACAATCTCGTCTATTTTTGGAACAAAGATATGTCTGCGTGAGAATAGTGGAGCCTTCGAGATAACCCTGTGGTAGTCACACCTGCCAAATATCAGTGTTTTACAGACTCTCTTGTTCTACCAAAATGGATAGTATCCATCTCAATGTATAACTACTTCCATAAAAACCTTGTTATCTCAAAATAAAACACGCATCCTTTTCTGGCGTTTATTAAATAGAACCTGAATATATTTTTCGAACTAATAATAATACGATGCTCCTAAAAAAATCGGATGTTTTTAGCAAGATGAATGTTTGTGTACAACCTACGAAACGAATATTTTCTGGACTTTCATCTTAACAAACGCCCCCTCCCAGTGGCACAGCGGTATGTCTGCGGACTTACAACGCTAGAAGCCGGGTTTCGATACCCGTGGTGGGCAGAGTACACATAGCCCTTGTGTAGCTTTGTGCATAATTAAAAACAAACAAAATCTTAACAAATAAAACTATTTTTAGTGCCATGAAATTCACTGTTTTTGGTCCATTGTATGAGAGTTCAAAAATAAACTAAGTTAAGTTGGTCATATTAATTCTCCATTTATTCATTGGAATATTTTGTTTTTCCAGGTTACTCCGGCGTATGTCCTGCCCACGATAATTACAGAGGATTTTGATGAAATGGAGACTCCTGAGGCTTCGTATCCGAATAAATCCGCGTCTCTTGGAAGTCGGGATCGAATTCGCTCGCTCTCAGGGGGAACGTCTAAGATAGCTACCCTTAGGGAAGCCCTTAGTCACAGTCGTTTGAGGCGACCCTCTGGAGATGATGTCCTTTCAGGAATCAGTCCAGCACGTAAAGCAGCTTTATTTGAAGCCTTCCGACCTCGTTCGAAGTCAGACAGCAAGCGGCAAAGACCAACATTTATATCGGCAATAAAAAATTCCGTACAGCAGACGTTTTCTTCTTCATCATCGCCAGGCACTTCGCCCAAATCTCCAACCCAGGCGCTTGCCCAGTTACATGCGTCGCTCGGGACTGCTAATGCATCAAATCACTTAGAGCCTATTACCCAAGGGGATTTCCGTAGACCAAGATCAGGGTCCGAAACCAAAAGTGGACCTGTGTCAAAGGTCATTGAAATGTTTCGGGGCCGATCCAACTCTATCTCCACCGACACTGCTTTTAAAGTAAGTCACGCATTTCTGCAGAAATCTTTATGAAACTCCAGCTTTGTTATTTACTCAAACGAAACTGTTGTTCCTACATTACATAGTATGTGCTAGAAGAACTGTGTGTTTAGGTATTTCATTCCTCATTGTTCTGCTATCTAACTCTAACCAACCATATATTTATCTTCGTCATTCCTCTCTTATGGTATCTAACTTTATCCAACCATCTATATTCATTGTTCCACCCTTCTGCCATCTAACTCTAATGAACCACCTATATTCATTGTTCCACCCTTCTGCTATCTAACTCTAATGAACCATGTATATTCATTGTTCCACCCTTCTGCTATCTAACTCTAATGAACCACCTATCTTCGTTGTTTCACCCTTCTGGAATCAAACTCTAATCAACCATCTATATTTTTTCCTTCCTTCTGCTAGCTGACTAACCAACCACCTACATTAAATTTTCCACCCTTCTGGATTCAAACACTACCGAACCATCTATATTTTCCTCCTTTCTGCTATGTAACTCTAACCAACCATCTACATTTATTGTTCCACCCTTCTGTTATTAAACTCTAACCAAACATCTATGTTCATTGTTCCACCCTTCTGGTAAAAAACTCTAACCAATCATCTGTTTTTATCGTTCCAACCTTCTGGAATCAAACTCCAAACATTATCTTTATTGTACCACTCTTCATATACAACTTTAACCAACCATCTGTTTTCATTGTTCCACTCTTTTGGAATCAAACTCTAACCAACCATCTATCTTCATTGTTCCATCCTTCTGGAATCAAACTCTAATCAACCATCTATCTTTATTGTTCCACCCTTCTGTTATATAACTCTAACCAACCATCTGTCTTCATTATTCCATCCTTCTGGAATCAAACTCAAATCAACTATCTGTCTTTATGTTCCACCCTTCTGTTATCTAACTCTAACCAACCATCTGTCTTCATTATTCCATCCTTCTGGAATCAAACTCTAATCAACCATCTATCTTTATGTTCCACCCTTCTGTTATCTAACTCTAACCAACCATCTGTTTTCATTATTCCATCCTTCTGGAATCAAACTCTAATCAACCATCTATCTTTATGTTCCACCCTTCTGTTATCTAACTCTAACCAACCATCTGTCTTCATTATTCTATCCTTCTGGAATCAAACTCTAACCAACTATCTGTCTTCACTGTTCCACCCTTCTGTTATCTATCTCTAACCAACCACCTGTCTTCATTATTCTATCCTTCTGGAATCAAACTCTAATCAACCATCTATCTTTATGTTCCACCCTTCTGTTATCTAACTCTAACCAAACATCTATCTTCATTGTTCCACCCTTGTGGAATCAAACTCTAACCAATCACTTATCTTAATTGTTCCACCCTTCTGGAATCAAACTCTAACCAACCATTTATTACCTTCGGAATCACATTTCTGATATCACGTGTTAACTATCTATTTTCATTATTCCTCTCCTTTTGTGTCAAATTATTATCAGTCATATGTCTATCGTACCATTCCAGACTTGTGGTATCATATTCTACCTAAGCTACGTATCTTCATCTTCATTTTTTTGTACTAGATTCTAACCAGAGGTTTATCTGCCTTTATAGTTCCAGCTCTTCTGTTTCAAATTATAATCAATTGTTTCTTGATTATCCAATTGTTGTATTATATTTTGACAAACGATATTTTTATTTTCATTGCATCATTCTTCTGGCAAGAAGAAATGCCTAAGTTCTGTTTTGTTCGTTATTTTGTCTTGAATGTCATCTTTCATGCAGTCTCTTATTTTCCTGCCATTATCGTTAATTTTTCTGATTCAGTGTCTTGTACTCCTAGTATAAAAAATGATGTTTAATTACATGTTTCTCGTCACTATTTGTGTGTGTGACATGATATAATGAACAAACTAGTTTTTAATTATCTAATTCTTATAGACTGAGCAATCAATATCTGTCAGTCTTCGTTGTGCCATTCTCTCAGTGTTGCAAAGTTTTTCAATCATCTCTTGATTATTCTGTTTCTCTTATATTACTTGATTACCAGCCATATACATCGTCATTGATACAGTCTCCTAAAATTCGTGTTCTGAGTATTTATTATTAGGTTATGTAATGAGCCTCATAAAGGTTTTTTTTTTGTTTGTTTCAGGATTTCGTTTCTGAAATCAATAACACACGTAAGCCTGAGTAAGGCGTGGCTCAATAGCAGTCCAATACGCGGTCTGTAGCAAGGTTTATTTCTGATTGAAGAAACGCATAACAAACAAAAGACGTTATGAACTTAAAATTATTACGCCACGTTCGACATTTGAGGATCAAAAGGGATGCCAATCGCACCTAGCGTCACCCATGTATACTATAATCTAAATGAATACGAGTGGTGTTTTACACACACACACCTTAAAACTTTTCCTGTATAAAAATTTAAATTTGTTCGTATTGATCTTCATCAGGTTGATTTGATTGTTACTATCCACCCCACCCCACCCCCAAAAAAGGGGGAATCTTCAGTAGTCGCGGCACTTGAAATTTATTTAGGCAGGATTAGAAGAAATTAATCTATGAGACCTTTTTTTCCTTTTTATTAGCTATATTTTTCGGCGCCAGCAATACCAAGAGTAGGGCGCACGTATTCCCGATTCGATTTTATTACTCGCCAAGATCTCTACCAGCCTACCCTCAAATTGAAATTCTTTTAGGCAGTATTATAGTATATTAATCTATGCGACATTAGACGTGATCAAATACATCAATCGAAAGGATTTGACCCTGTGGGTCCAAAACTGTGGTTAGATCTCAAATCGGTCAAGAGATGACGGAGCTATAAGCTAAAAGTTTGTACTTGAAAAATTCAGAGCCAGAATTATTTGATAATGTTAAATCAGAATTAGCTACAACTTTTAAAAACGAATTATGAGCTGGAAGTTTGTACTTGAGAAAAAACCAACTCAGAGCCATTCTACGAGCCACTATGCCTCGAATAAAAACAACAACAACAAAGAATGTATATGATGTTCACGATGTTCTTATTGGCGTCGCCCTGCGAGAAGATTGTAGTAAACTCTGTTGAAGTGGCGGCATCTAGTAACGACAATTAGAAACATGAACTTAATTACATGAAGCTTTTATTATACGTTTTGGAATCTTCAGTAAGCTAGAGGCACAAGAAAAACATATTGGTAATTACACCAGAAATATGTTATAAACTGTAATACATAATAAGTCAACAATTTATACGCAAAAAAAAGAACAGGAGAAAATGAAAATTATGTAGCAGAAATGAAACAGTTCATATTAAAATAGATTTAAATCAAATGAAGTATGGTATTATTTATAAACGGAGGAAGAACTTTTACGTGCAACGTCTCTTTTAACAAAAGTTCAGTATAAAGCTTAGCTGTTGAGAGGATTTCAATGTTGGTGTAAATTAAGCATGATACTAAACTTTTTTAATAAAAGGGACCTTGTATATAAAAACTGTTCTTCCGTTTCAAAACTATACACATTCTTCATATGATTTAAATCGATTTTAATATCAACTATTTCAATTGCACTACATCATTCTCATTTTCTCCTGTTCTTCTTTTTTATATACATACTGTTTACTTATTATTTATTACAGATTATTACATATTTCTGGTGTAATTACCCTTATGTTTGTTTTGTACCTCCAGCTTACTGAAGATGGAATTTTGAAGATTCCGACACATTTAGTAAAACGCTTTTCGTAATTACGTTCGTGTTTTTATTATTATTATTAAATCTAGAGCGATATTTTACATAAGTCTTCAAAGAATATATTGTACTGTTCCGATAGAGGGAGCTTTTGAAAAGTAAAAATTACATTTTAATTAAAGTGTGAACAGTGGTATGAGCTACATTCATAAGAACTGCAGGTGAAGTCATAAAAACCACCCTGAGTAAAATAAGGACATAAACATTTATCGCAAGAATGTCAGGTTGCGATGGAAAATATCAGCATTAGCTACTTTATAACAATAGTATGTACAAAGACATAAGTTGCTGTGATAAGAATATTAGAGTGTTATCAAGAATATTACCTACTTTATAACATGATGTGTGTATATAGAGGCAAAAGTTGCTGTCATAAGAACATTGCCTATTTTATAACCATGATATATGTAAAGACAAAAGTTGCTCTCATAAGAGTATTAGGGTGTTATCAAGAACGTTACCTAGTTTATAACCATGATATATGTAAAGGCAAAAGTTGCTCTCATAAGAGCATTAGGGTGTTATGAAGAACGTTACCTACTTTATAACCATGATATATGTAAAGGCAAAAGTTGCTCTCATAAGAGCATTAGGGTGTTATCAAGAACGTTACCTACTTTATAACCATGATATATGTAAAGGCAAAAGTTGCTCTCATAAGAGCATTAGGGTGTTATCAAGAACGTTACCTACTTTATAACTATGATTTATGTAAAGGCAAAAGTTGCTCTCATAATAACATTAGGGTGTTATCAAGAACGTTACCTACTTTATAACCATGATTTATGTAAAGGCATGTGCTACTCATTATAACGTTCAGGAGTAAAGAATAGCTGGATTTGCTTTAATCAGTTTAGGATGTGAACACTGAATGATCTGAGTTACTTTCTAGTAAAGATTTTAGATCTTATTAAGATTTCTTCGTTGTATATGCTACACAATCTTTGTGTTACTATCACTCGGTTCCTCCCATGAACATTTTTTAGGTTTATATACAATATACCTGCTACGTGCAGCACAAAGTTCACTGTACTCTCCTGGAGGCCCCCAGTGGCACAGCGGTATATCTGCGGACTTACACCCCTAGAAACCGGGTTTCGATACCCGTGGTGGGCAGAGCACAGATAGCCCATTGTGTAGCTTTGTGGATAACTACAAACAAACAAACACTCCTGGAGAATTCTTCAACGGAACAGCAGTAAACTGAGAGATTATCACGTTAAATTCAGGGTTTAATCCCTGGTGTGTGTGTGGTGGTGGG